CGTGCGCCACCACATCCAGCTAATTTTTTTATTTTTAGTAGAGACGAGGTTTCACCACAGTGGCCAGACTGCTCTCGAACTCCTGACCTCAAGTGATCTGCCCGTCTTGGCCTCCCAAAGTGCTGGGATTACAGGCATGTAATCCTTACCTGGGTCCTTCCCAGTTTGGAGGGATCTCACAGTACATGCTGTAGCCAGTACCACGTTCTACTGTCTCTTCTAAAGCACAGTTCCTAGGCCAGAGCTTCAGCTTGGCATGCAGTCTTGTTAGAAATGCTAATTCCAGGGCCCCCTAGACCTCCTGACTCAGAAACTGGGAGTGGAGCCAACAATCTGGAGAAAGAACCACCACACCTGGCCAAACACAGCATGTTCTTTTTGTCCACATAAAACTTACCGTCTTGACCATTGTGAAGTGTACAGTTCAGTGGCATTAAACACATTCACATTGTTGTGCAACCATTACCATCGTCCATCTCAAGAACTTCTTTGTCTTCCTCAAATTGAAACTCTGTCTCCAATGAACAGTAACTCCTCATTCCCCATTCCCTTAGCTCATATAAGTGGAATCATATAGAGTTTGTCTTTTTGTGGCTGGCTTTTTCCCCAGAATATTACGTCCTCACATTCTTCCGTATTGTAGCACCTGCCAGAATTTCGTTCCTTTGTAAGACTGAATAATATTTCATTGTGCGCATAGACCACATTTTGTTTAGCGATGGTCATTTCGGTGCCTTCCACCTTTTGGTTGTTGTAAAGAATGCTGCTATAAACATGGGTGAACAAATATCTGTTGGAGACCCTGATCTCAATTATTTTTTGCGTATTTTTTGGCATGTACCCCAAAGTGGAATTACTAGATTATGTGGCAATTCTGCACAGTGACTTTTCAACTAGTGTTTAACATGGTGTTTTGACAGAATAGTTGTAAGATTACACTGAAAACATAGCCGGGAAAGTGCTGTGAAGGCGGCCCATGAGCTTGCAGGAAAGGCGGTCAGCAGCACACCTCCACTGTAATGGGTTTGTTTACCCGCTTGCCTACCAACAGCTGCAGGACCCTTTCCTGGCCCTGCCCCACATTGCCCCCCACATTGGACCCGGCTGTGCTGCACCTCTGCCCTTCTGCCTGGCTCCTGCTTGTTACAGGGAAGGGCTGGAGGGCTCTTTGTCCAGGTTTGTCATCCAATATAAGTGCTTAATGCACACGGATGGCTTTACCTGGCTCTCAGCCAGTGAACTCAGCATCTGCTCCAGCCTTTTAGCCCTGAGCTAGGCTATCTACCTTCATAGGCCAATCACAGGCTGTCACAGGTAAATGACCACGCGTGGTTTGTGCCTCACTTTCTGACTTTGGAACATAATCCCACAGTGGGGGTGGGGGAGGGCCATTTTTCTGGAGCTTCCTCCTATTTTCAAGCTTTATCTTGCAGAACAAAACCTCCTAAGCAGAAGCCTCGATGTCCTCTTTCTGTGGATTGAATGTGTCCCCCAAAAGGCATGTATTCAACACTTAGCCCCCAGTGCAATGGTATTGGGAGCGGGGGCCTAATAGGAGGTGTTTAGGTTATGAGGTGCCCACCGTCACGCATGGATTAATGCTGATTATAAAAGGCCTTGAGACTGTGAGTTTGGTCTCTCACCCTCCTGATTTCCACCATGGGATGAGGCAGCCAGAAGGCCCTCACCAAATGCTGGGCTCAGGCCGGCACCATGCCCTTGGGCTTCCCAGCCTCCAGAACTATGAGCCACATAAATGTCTGATTATTATAAATGACCCAGTCTCAGGTATTCTGTTATAGCAGCACAAAATGGACTCAGACATCTGTCTGCCAGCCCTGCCCTCCTGAGGCCTGGAATGCTGTTCGCCGCACTTCCCAGCCTCTCTGCTTTGCCTCACACTCACTTCCTTCCCTGGAACCAGCAGTTCCTGCTTGTCTGGGCATTTTCAGATCTTACTGATCTTTCAAGGGCACCTCCTCTGTGAACTTACCTGGGTCCTTCCCAACTTGGAGGGATCTCACAGTACATGCTGTAGCCAGTACCACATTCTACTCTCTCTTCTAAAGCACAGTTCCTGGGCCAGAGCTTCAGCATGGCCTGCA